CTTAATAGTCTTCTAGAGGTGGGCGAGCAGGGTGGGTCACAATAAAATGGTCAGATCAGTATTTTATACCCATTATCTCATTTCATTCCCTCAATATCTCTATGAGATACCTATTATTTTCTTCATCTTCCCATTTTATTGGTTAAAAAAAGTAGACAGTGATCTTAAATGACTTGCCCAATTTCATAAAGATATTAAGTAATGGAAACTTTGCAATACTAAGCAATTCAATAACCTAGTAATACTAAGCAATTGCTTCAGTGAATTGAACTGAAATGAATTCAATCTTTCTATTTAATACCAGTTTCTAAATAAGAAAGAGACAGATAAAAGATTGTACTAGATTACAATTAAATTTCTTTTTCAATGCATAAACCTTATGATTCTACTCCCAGTGTAAATTTAGTCCTTTAGATCACATACTGGTGACATCTTCTTCACATATTATAAGCCTATTGTCCTGTTATCACCAAAATTCAAGTGTAATTTGATTTTGTTTTCAGGTACCTTTGAGGATGCAGTGGGGAAATAAAGTAATCAACCTGGGGCTCTGTGATATTCTCATTTGGAGTCTACCTTAATTTGCTTTAAAAAGTTGCTTTCTCAATGTGTTATCAGCTCTGCAGACGATATTAAAAGTACGCTGAAAACTGTCACCTCAAACACTAATTCATTCGGTGTTTCTTCACTACAGAGGGCTACTGTTGCTGAGTTAAATTAAGAGAAGAAAGAAAAAGTGCAAAACAATTTACAAAACTAAAAACCCAAAGCTACATGATAGACATGAATTAGATAATGTTCTTTTATGAACACATTGAGAAAATTAGAAAATTCTAATTTAGAAAGTGTAGCTTATCTTTGAAAGAAATATATTGAAGAAAATTCTGAAAAATGAACAGCATAAAAACCTAGGCCAAACATCCAAAACCTTCTAACATCATCCAAAAACCTTCTTTAAGTCTTCTGCAAAAATTTATTGCTCTGTTCATGGTACTCCCAAAGGATGTTATCTGAATCCTTAAGAAGTCTGTCTTGAACTTGTTTAATTGACTTTACCAATAAATACTGAGCTCTTAATGGCAGTGGTCAGGTCATTTGCATTTCTGTATACCCAGATCATGATGTTCTGTACACTGTAGACATTCTGTATATATTTCTAAATAAGCAAATTATTAATTTAAATAAATTTTTTTTCCACTGGGATTAGGACTTTCTAGTCAAATACAAGTTGAAACAAGCCATTTACCTCTGTACTTCAATTTGCTTTTTGGTTAATTTGCACTGCTGCAACACAAAGATTTGGATGTCAAAGAATACAATATGTTTAAGAGCCCTTTAGGATAGATGTGAAAGCACAAGACAAAAGGTAATTCTTAAAAAAAAAAAAAAAAAGGTAATTCTTAGTTGTCAACATGAAGGGCCAAGACTGGTCATCCATTTTATTCCTATTAATGGTATCATCATTTTTCTATTCCCCAGTACCTGAAACTGAGTCATCCTTAACTCACTCTCACCCTACTCCATTGCCAAAATTGGTCTTCCATAAGTTCCTACAATATATTTTAACTCAACTTTACCACTTTATGCCAAGATTATCCAATGCTTCCATTTTACATTTTCAACACTACCTACTGTGGGTGTTGTAGCTTATTTTTTAACTCAGTGGTCTTAGCCTCTGTTTCCATGGAGCTTATACTCTAGTAAGATTCAAACATATGGACAATAATACACAATATTAGTTTGCCAGTAAAGAATAATGGCACCTAATTTATCCCGGGGTAGGGACGGCTTCCCCGAAAGGTGGTATCGGTACTATCACAACTACAAGAGCACAAGCCACTGTCATAATCACCAGCACCATCGCCCTCATCATTCTAACATGTAATAAACTGCTACCATGCATCAGGAACTGTCCTTAGTGTTTTTCATGTATTAAGTCATTTGTTCTCACTACAACCTTAGGAGAGAGGTTCTATTATTTTGCTTCCTGGTGGCTCAGATGGTAAAGAATCCACCTGCCATGCAGGAGACCTGGGTTCAGTCCCTGGGTTGGGAAGATCCCCTGGAGGAGGGCAGGGCAACCCACTCCAATACTCTTGCCTGGAGAATCCCCATGGACAGAGGAGCCTGGCGGGCTGCAGTCCATGGGGTCGCACAGAGATGAACACGAGTAAGCACGGACAGCAACACAGCACTATCGTTTCTACTTTACACATAAGGATATGTAAACAACAACAACGAAACTTGATTAAAGTTACATAAGTAATCCGATGTCTATATCCAGAGCCTCTGACCTTAAGCCATAAAACTGCTTAAAGATACCAGAGAGCTGAACAGGATAAGGAAGAGAAGAGCTCAGTTAATTTTCTAAGAAGCAGGAATAACATATACAAAGGTCTGGGGATGAAAGAGAAGGGTATATTAAGATAAATGAAAAAAGTTCAATGTGCACAGATCCTAAAAGGCATGGAGGTGGGGATGGTAAGATAACAAAGCTAGAGAGGTTGGCAGGAACAAAACTCTATAGGGGTTTATAAGTCAAATTAAGGTGTTCAGACTTTAAAAGTCAACAATTATGATAGCTGTCCAACAGACATTAATTTCATTCCACTGATTTATGTAAGGTTACTGCCATTCAACAATGTTCTAAGTGCCAGAGATACACTAAGGAACAAAAGTAAGGTCTTTAATCTCAGGACAGTAATTTAAAAATAAACCAGAAAGTGAGATATATTTCTAAATACTATAATGGCCTGAAAATAGAATCATGTGATAGGAAAATACAAGGTCAACATTGGATGAGATGGAAAACTGTCTCAGAGGACACTGACTTTCATCTTTGCCCTTATATTCATTCTGGTTTATATTCAAACTTGTAGCTAAAAAATGCTTTTAATCATTTCTTCTTAATAATTTATCAAAGTACTTTAATTTTTTATTTATAAATTACATGCCCATTTAAAAAGTATAGATAGATTGAAAGTGAAAGTGAAATTACTTTTTATTTCTACTCTGAAGTGATAACCATATTTAGCTATTTGGTATACATTCTTCTTGATAAGTTTTTCCATATGAAGTTTTTGCTTTCACATAAATGAGATCAGTTTACTATCTATTTGGTTTGTTTTTTAACATATGATGAACACCATTCCAGGTTAATACAAAACAAACTTATCCTTTTGGAAACCAGTTACAAGCATTTTGTTCAGTTAATGCCATAATTTACTTATTGTGTGTGTGTGTGTGCGCGCGCTTAGTCGTGTCTGACTCTTTGTGATCCCATGGACTGGAGCCCTCCAGGCTCCCCGGTCTATGGAATTTTCCAGCAAGAATACTATAGAGGGCTGCCATTTCCTCCTCCAGGGGATCTTACTGACCCAGGGATCAAGCCCACACCTCTTATGTCCCTGCATTGTCAGGCAGATTTTTTAACAATGCACTACCCAGGAAGCCAATTTATTTATTGGGTTATCTTATAACCCAATTAATGGACATTTCAGTTGCTACTAATTTTATAGTGTTAGTTAACATACAATATTATATATATTTACACACACATATATATATATAATGTAAAATCACTTTTGAATATCACTTAATTGTGACCTTAGGATATATCTGTATAAGGAGAAATGCCAAATATAAAGGTATCCATGTATTAAATACTAGTGCATTCCACTATGTTGTTTTCTAGAAACTTTATGCCAATTTCCAGTTTCACAATTATGCAATTTACATCAGTGATGATAATATCTATTTTTCACTTGTCAGTGCTAACCACTGTCAATCTTTTAAAATCTTTGTTAATCTGATAAATGAAAATGATCTTGCTTTGCTTTTCATCTGCATTCCTTTGTTATTAATGATATTGAGAAGCTTTGAATATAAGCACAACATCTTTATGAGGATCAATCTGTAAAACACTGTATAAGCATCCATTAAAAAACCCCACAGTTCTTCCCTATCTATTTAAAAATATTTGGAATGTTTGTTCCACAAAATGCTTGATTAGATTTTGCATTTATTATGGAGTTGATATTTTTTTCCAATTTTACTCATAATATAATTGTCATATAACACTGTATTAGTTTAAGGTATACAATGTAATGATTTGGCATATATATATATACATATATATATAGTGAAATGATTCCCACAGTAAGTTTAGTTAATATCCACTGTCTCACATACTTAATGTGACATTTATGGTCCTTCGTCTATAACTTATCTTTCTAGGCTTCTGGTCTACAATTTCCTTGCATGGCTTCTGCAAATAGGATTGCTCAGTAATCTTTGATTATATGTTTTGCTTCCCATTTCTGCACTTATATTTACATTTTAGAATTATTAATCTCATCATTCAAGCCCTAGTTCAAGTTAGGCCTCTCTTCATGAGAACTCTCTCATCCCTCCAATCATAGATTCTCTGAAATTCTTCAGCGCTTTTCCTGCTCTCTCCTTAAAGCATTGATTATTTTCCATTTGTGTTAATTTCCCTACTAGATCATTGTCTATCCCAAGTCACCTTTCATAAAGTACCTGGAAGACAGCAGCTGCTCAAAAACCTCTAAAAGAAATAATCCCACCAAAAATTAGTTCTATTTACTCCACATACATTTTAAGGAAATAACAAAAGCTATAATGTTTCTATAATCAAGAAAAACAGGTACATAGGTACAAGGGAAGGGAAACAGAAAGGAAAAGGAAAATTAACTCTATGTTCTTGCCATAGAAACGAGGAAATACAACGGGAAGGGGAAAGTCATAGGAACGAGTGATTGTTTAAGTTCTCCCTTTTGCCTGTGTAGCTTCTATCCCCAACCCCCACTTTATGCCCCAGATCTATTCAACGCCACCCCTCCACAAAAGGCCTTCCTTAAAGCCTCACTGTATCCATCTCCACTTTCTCGGGATTCTACTTACTGCAAATGTCATATTTTAAAGCATTTAATTTGTCTGTAAATTATTTCTACTTTTCTTTATCCTTTCTTTAAATCCAGGACCCAAGGGCATCAAGGGTAGGACTTTCAGACTTCTGGTCCTTCAGTGTTCTTCAATCATCTAAAACAGCAAGACATTGTGGGTGCTTTGCAAGTATCTTCCAAAGAGCTTCTTTCACCCAAACACTGAGTCATCAAAATATCTCACTAGGTATGGAGATGGACTAGAATTTATTCAGCTGTAACTATAATCCAGCTAATTAACAACAGCATTTTTTTATGTCATGCCAACCTCACAAGCAAGGTATCATGTTCTCCGTCCGAGGGTCACCAAGCATGTACGTACACAGATAGAACTCAGCTCAACAAGGCTCCAAAGCTCCTGTCTTTCCTCCATAATATAGCTGAGAGAGGCAAATAATCTCGCAAATTCTGGATGCACAACTGGTGTAAACCAAACTAAATATGCTATAGTGCCTCACTCAAAAGAAAAGGTGTGAGTAATCATTGGATCATAAAAGAAGAGAGGCCATTTCTTCAGGAAGGTGATGCCAATGAACTTCAAGAAACCCCTCACACTGGCAGTGCCTCTATTAAAGAAGACTCTGGGTTTAGGATTTCTAAGATATTAAATTCATTTTTTTTCTTTAAAATGATCCCTCTAAGGAAATAATTCCTACAGTGGGGAATACATGGACTTGAGAATCAGACAGACTTAAGTTCTAATTCTGGGTTCGATCCCTTCCTAGCTGTGGACCTAATCAGGTTATTCTCACCTCAGATTATTAATAAGCAGCAGTTTCCAACCATCTGAAAGATATAATCACCCCACAGGGCTGACTCAAGCTTAGAGTAAGATGACCATATGACTAACACGGGTCCTGGCCTCTGGTCAGCCACCTCAAAGTGTTAGCAGCCTTCCTCTTACACATCCTTTGACCATTGGAAAGATAATGGTTCTTCATTGCACATTTTTCACTTGACTCAAAGTGTTAGGCTCCCTAAACTTTTTTTTTTTTTTTTTCCAGTTGGGATGTATAAGGAGAGGCTCCTCAGTCAGATAATGATTCATGCAATTGTGTCAAGTTAGACTTGGGAAATCAACCTCTGACCTCAAACTGAAGACGGCTTCTCAGAAGCGTCTCTCCAGAGACTGATCAACAGGAGACTGTCCTGCCTTTCGAGGCAGAACCAGGATCAAATTCGTGTTTGTACTCAGAGTACCTAGCACAGAGCCCAGTACCAGCTAGTGAACAATATTAGGGATTCGGTCCAACTCATTCAAAGCTAAATTCCTGCTTGAAGATTTTACAGTATCAAAGACCAAAATAAAATAATCATACCTGACCCTATCCATCTGTCTGTTTTTCCTTTCAGTATCAGTCCCTAGAGATGCACACTTGACCAAGGGCAGAAGTGAACTGTACCACGTCTGCTGACAGTCCTGAAAAGGCACTCTTCACACACTTATCTGCCGAAGCAGTGACTCATGAAATTCAGAACGTGCTAAGATTTGGTGAGGAGCGTTTCATATAAAATTAACGCAAGCGAAAGGTTACTTCAGGGAACAGTGCACTACTTTTTTAGGTGACCCAGTTATGGCTAAATTTGGAAAGTTGGCAAGGCTGACTCTCCCCTTTAAAGCAGATCTCACAGAAACACAAGATACTATGCAGCCTCAGGGCCCAGATCTTCGCTGGGCCATCAATGGTGGGGGAAAGGCCTTTGAAAAAGCCAGACATCGTGGATGTGTCTGGTCACCTCGGCTTGCCATTGAGAACACTGTTTCCGAGAGTGTGATTCCAAGAGATGAATCAGAAGAGAACTCTTCAACTACAACCTATTTAATAAAACTCAAACAGCAGTTAAGTGTATGCCAAGCACTGTTTAAAGTACTGTACAAACACTGCTTCCTATAACAACCTTATAAGGTGCTATTATTATCTCCACGTGATGGATGAAGACTGCAGAAATAGGGAGATTAAGCATCCTGCCACAAGGCAACGCAGCTACTAAGTGGCAGATCTTGGATGCAAGCAGAGGTAGTTTGGTTCCAAAATTTGTCGTATCCAAATCCAAAATGTTCTGGATTCTTGCACTGCTTTTAATGTTATGCAATGTTACTACATACAGTAAGACAACATCTACTGTTTGCTTTCTGGCACAAGCTACGATTGTGCTCTGAGAGACAATGCTGCGGAAGTTCAGAATGCTGACTCCAGAGCAGATGGCTAGACTTGTGGCCTGCATTCTCTGCCTATAAATCAAGAGTTCTGTGTAACACAGCTAATTTCTCTGTGCCTCAGTTTTCTCATCTGTGTATTGGGTACAATAATAGACCCTATACCATCAGATTTGGAGGATTAAATAAGTTAATACCTATAAAGTACTCAGAACAGTACTTGACACATAGTAATGGTCAATGATTGTTAACTATGACCATTAATTTAAAAAGAGACACTAACTTGCTTCTGGGTTACAAAAGAAACAACATCATTGATTTTTGTGAGAGGATATGTATAGATGGGAGAATATGACCTTTGATGTGTGATAGACTCTGGTTTAAATTTTACTTCCAACTCACCGTATAAACTTGGGAAGTCATTTAATCACTCTGAGCCTTAGTTTCTTCATATGTATGATGGGCTAGCATACCTCTGACACAGTTGAGGTGTAAATTAAGTGAGATAATGTGTATAAAAATACGGAAGCTGAAACCTGGTCAATATTCAAATGAGACGACCAGATTCCCTGCCATCTCTTAATATGACTGGCTGCAGTACTGGACGATGCTTAGTGATTTTACTAGAGTCTAACATTTTTTACCAAGCTGAAATATGTCATGACTGGAAGCATGTAATTGGTAGGCCCAAAGACACTGAAGGGCTTAAGGATAGTTTTACATTATTTATGAGACTAAAATTTAGAGACTAAATGTCCAGTGATTGGACGCAGGGCAGTTAAATGTGTCAACTATATATTATTTTATGTACCCCTTTAAAATGATGACATTTGTCTTATCCAAATAATTATAACTTTATAAATTTGTTTTATGTCAAACTAAATCTTGTGTGTATATATAGATATATGTCAAACTAAACTAAACTATATATATAGGTATATATATAAACCATATATATGTCAAATTAAATCTTGTGTGTGTGTGTGTTACCATGTAGTAATTGTAAAAGTTATACAATTGTAAAATTATAAAAATTATACCTTTATAAATCTGTTTTATGTCAAACTAAATACTGTATGTATATATGTATATATGTCAAACTAAACTATATATATAAACTCTCTCTATATATACATCAAACTATATATATATATATATATTTATACCAAACTAAATCTTGTATATATATATATATATATGACTTACCATGTAGTAGTTGTAAAAGGAAACAGCTGGAAATGACATTACCTATAAGCAGGGCATTGATTAAATATACAATGACATGTGTAGAGAGATAATACTAAAAGGAAAAAAAAAAATAACTATGCCACCTCTTCAGTAACATTTGTTTTCTTCCTTAGGCTTTTGTGATTTTCAACTTTTCTATAGTACACATATTAAAAGTCATAAATGATGATAGTACTTATTCTATAACTAGCATCTATTACTTTCGTTATCAGAAAACAAATACTTTACAGAATATTTTTAATATTTTTTTACCCCTGATACGTCTTATAAGTCCTTCATATGAAACACACATTAAAAAAGAAATCCTTTACCAATATGGTCACCATGATTAGTTCATGAAAGGTCTCAGACTGTGACCCAAACCAGAACCATCCTGGAGGAAAGGTCAGGTGGCTTGTTAGGCTCTGAACCAAAAGACATGAAGTCCACTCCGTTACTGATGAAGAGGAACGACGGGTCAGCCAACTGCGAGCAGCCTGAGCCACAAGGTAGGTGTCGAACCCTTCTCCGGCCTGGCCCCAGGCCTGCTGACCAAGGCCCTGTCATCCTTACTCTTACCTCCCTAATCTTGCCAATCATGCCTGGACAGTGTCAGCCCACCCATCGCTTCTGAAAAGGGCAGCCTTGGCCAAGGGTACCAGCTTGAGTATGTAGGCCTGGCCATTCACTGCCACACCAGCATCATAGTCACAGACACACCCACAGAGTTTTGAAAGACCTCCATTCCTTCAAGTGTCTTCTACATGCTGTTTACTCTTCCTGAAACATCCTCCTCCCTCTCTCTCTAAGTTTCATCACCCAACTCTTCCTTCTCCAGTTACCAGCTAAGATGCACTTTTTCTAGAAAGTCTATCTTAAAGCTTGAGGCTGGGATCCATGTGTCTGCTATAGGTTTCCCAATTGCTTATGCCTCTGGTTGGGCCAATCATCCCCTATTCTAATTTATTGTTTACCCACTGATTTCTCAAAAATTACTGTAAGTTTTTGAAGCCAGGAATTATGCACTATTCAGAGCTCTGTGCCCCATATGAATCCAATGTTTGGTATCCAGTCCAAGCTCAGCAATTTTTTTTTTTTGAGTGAACAAATGAATGGGAATTTTGAAGTAAAAAATCCATGCAACACCTTTTATACATTCCTTATAGAGAAAACATCACTGACTAAGAGGAAAGTAAGCACCGAGACAATACTGGATGAGCAGGGTAATTGACTACTGCACAGAATGGTTCATAACAAGCTGTAAAATCCTTCAAGCTTCAACAGTATGAGAACTGAGAACTTCCAGATGTACAAGCTGGATTTAGAAAAGGCAGAGGAATCAGAGATCAAATTGCCAACAGCTGCTAAATCATAGAAAAAGCAAGAAAATTCCAGAAAAAAAACATCTACTTCTGCTTCATTGACTATGCTAAAGCCTTTCACTGTGTGGATCACAACAAACTGGAAAATTCTGAAAGATATGGGAATACCAGACCACCTCACCTGCCTCTTGAGAAACCTGTATGCAGGTCAACAAGCAACATTTAGAAACTGGACATGGAACAATGAACTGGGAATACATTAAGGCTGTAAATTGTCACTCTGCTTATTTAACTTTTGTGCAGAGTACATCATGCAAAATGCCAGGCTGGATGAAGCACAAGCTGGAATCAAAATTGTCGGGAGAAATATCAACAACCTCAGATATGCAGATGACACCATCTTAATGGCAGAAAGTGAAAGAAAACTAAAGAGCCTCTTGATGAAAGTGAAAGAGGAGAGTGAAAAAGCTGGCTTAAAACTCAACATTCAAAAAATGAAGCTAATGGCATCCAGCCCCATCACTTCATGGCAAATAGATGGGGAAAAAATGCAAACAGCGGCAGATTTTATTTTCTTGGGGTCCAAAATCACTATGGATGGTGACTGCAGCCATGAAATTAAAAGACAATCGCTCCTTGGAAGAAAAGTTATGACAAACCTAGACAGCATATTAAAAAGCAGAAACATTACTTTACGACAAAGGTCCATATGGTCAAAGCTATGGCTTTTCCAGTAGTCATGTATGAAAGTGAGAACTAAATCATAAAGAAGGCTGAGCACCAAGTAATTGATGCTTTTGAACTGTGGTGTTGGAGAAGACTCTTGAGAGTCTCTTGGACAAAGAGATCAAACCAGTCAATCCTAAAGGAAATCAACTCTGAATATTCATTGGAAGGACTGATACTGAAGCTGAAACTCCAATTCTTTGGCCACCTGATGCGATGAGCTGACTCATTGGAAAAAACCCTGATGCTGGGTAAGATTGAAGGCAGGAGGAGGATGGGACTACAGAGGATGAGATGGTTGGATGGCATCACCAACATAATGGACATGAATTTGGGTAAACTCTGGGAATTGGTGATGGACAGGGAGGCCTGGCTTGCTGCAGTCCATGGGGTCACAAGGAGTCGGACACAAATGAGTGACTGAACTGAGCTGAACTGAACTGGGTAAGATTGAGGGCAGGAAGATAAGGGGGTGTCAGAGGATGAGATGGTTGGATGGCATCACTGACTCAATGGACATTAATTTGAGTGAACTCAAGAGAGACGGTGAAGGGCAGGGAAGCCTAGAGTGCTGCAATTCATGGGGTCACAAAAAAAATCAGATACTGAACAACAACAATTTAGTGACTAAACAACAACAACAGGTCTCAAAGACTCAGACATGACAAGCAACTTAGCATGCATGCACACACAAATCAATAGTGATAGGTCATGAGGCTCCTGAAACCCTGAGAGGGTAGGCTGTCTGGAGATTTGAAATTCCATCACTATTGGTCTCCTGTTTGAGACTCGTGGTTTAATAATTGTAACCCACTTTCCTCTAT